AAACTCAACTGTGTAAAAAAAAAAATGAATTCTATATTTTTATATTGAAAATAATAATATTCTTAAGTTATTTCTTTTAACAAAAATCAAACCGAACAGAAACGAAATTGCATATAACCAAACCAAATTACACATCGATTTGCGCATACCATGAGTGAAAAACACGAACATACTTGAAGAACAGAATCTGAGACTAATATAGCTATATTCACACAATCTCATTTGATTCAAACTGATACAGAACTTGCATTCTAAAGCAGTACATAGTGGAAACAAAATTTCGGATTTACACCAAAAGGAATTTGTACAGATGAGATCTAGAAATCACTGGCAGATTTGGTCCTCATAGGATGAAACCATGTCATAGAACAAGTTTGGAGGTAAGAAGATCAGCTAACCGGTCTACTTCGATATCCTGCTCCTTTATTAATATCCAGAGGTTCCCGAGAGTCACTGCACACCAAATTTTGATGTTTGCATACAAAAGAATCAGTGAGACTTTGATCATGCTCAATGTACAAGAAATATCTTAAACAAGTGTGTGCATATATAACTTACATGGATGGTCCATAAGTCAACGTTTCTCCCACAAGGTTGAGTGATTCCAATGTCTCCATAACATCACTCGAACAAACCATTGAGGTATTTTCATGCATGCCATTTGTTGACTGAACAGACCATCTCAAGGGTACAACTATATCCCTGCATCGATGTGAAAAATCAGATGACCAATGCTTTACTTGTTACTACGAGTAGAGGATGTTATGTCACATAACTGTCACTCACCCTCTGATACATCTAGCTCTGCACTTTTCTATCTCGTCTCTTGTATATTTCATATGGCTTGAGTCTAGACGTTTTACAGCTTCATAAGCATCAGATAGTGGCACAACATTCCAAACTTTCAGAACTTGGACATAGTGAAACTCTTCCTTAAGAATGTCTACAGCCCAAATGAGCCTTAGAACATCGTCGATCTTGCTTTGTTTTAACAGCTGAGAGGAGGAAACAAGATTGTCTCTCGCCGAATCCTCTTCATGAAGCCAACCCTGTGATATCCTTTCTACAAAACTCCTAATTTTCTTGTAAGTCTCCGGGCTCTTAATTTCTCCCACATATTTCTTGAAGTCGTCACTGAAGCAAACCTGTTTTACATTGCAAAGGGAAGCCTCAAAGAAAGAGAACAAACTAAAAGAACACAAAGGCAATGTCATTACCTTCCATTTTGAACTGTTCAGTGGTCTATCATGCTGGATAAACTCGATTTTTGCACTAGCGATAGCCTGAGCTAATGACTTGTCTTCTTCGGCATTATAAAAACAATTGCGTTCCTTTGAGTCTTGTATCAGATTCCTCCATACAGACTTGCTGTTCATCAAAGTTGCCTCATTTCCAAGTATCCATAAGCAGAACCTACAGGAAAGAAAAAATAATAATTGGAAGACAAATCTTTTAGCAGTAACTAAAGAACTGTGATATGCCTAGATTACCTTGCTCGAGTGAGTAATACATTTGTTCTCCGACGGTTTGCAAGGAACCCAATCCTTCCAATACCATTGGACCTAACAGTTGAAACTATTATAATATCCTCTTCGCCACCTTGAAACCCATCCACAGACCGAATTTTCAGCGAGAATTGTCCTCCTGCACCACCACTACATGTTTCCTGTATCTTTTCTTGAATTGCAAATATTTGAGCCTTATAAGGAGATATCACACCAACGTTTATGCGTGTCTTTGTTTTCTCCGAGACTGCATTTAAAAATAAAAGTCTGCTTTATTGTGCCAAAACCAGAGAGAATAACTTTTCATAGAGATAAGAGCAAATAAAAATCACTAGTTTACCAATTGTGTTAACTCAAAGATAGTTTCACCTTGGAGAAGGTTGGCTATTATATCTGAGACCACAGCAACCTCAACGTTGTTTTTCAGACTACGTCCTTCCCCATATTGTTCTTCTCCATATGCTATGTTGATGAAAGAGAAGGGTCCATACATTTGTCCAGGAAGATATTGCTTTGTGTAGTTTCTTTGTCTGACCACTGGAGCATCTAGAATCTTCATTCCATAGAACTCTTTGTTTGGGAAGATACTTATTGACCGGTGCATCCGGTATTGGATGTTTAGCAAGTATTTATTATGTCCAAGAATGGCCAATCTTTCAAATAGACTTCTCCCAAATCCTGCCTCTAAAGCAATCTGTATAGTTTTAGTAAATGTTAGTACTTAAGGAGGGGCGAAGTGAGTTATTACACATGCGAGGAAACAGAGGCGCATACCTGGCTTTCGACCATTGCAGGAAGCTGCCTCTCATCCCCAATCAAAATTGAATGCCGGAATCCGGGAAGCAACAGAGGAATGGCTGTCTCACATTCTTTCAGTTGAGCAGCTTCGTCGATCACAAGAAGCTGTACCGGTAATCCAGTGTATAACCTTGCAGAGCATGATGCTGTAGAGAAAAGCAGGCAAGCGTGCCCCAAGCAAAGTTCTTTAATAAGATGCCTATCACATACACTCGGAAGTGTGAAAATCTGAGGGATCAATCTTAACAGCTTTAGATAGTAATCCTCTACTGTTGCGTGTTGTCTTCTGAATCTTTCACTTCCTTCTCCATTCACACTGAGGACCGATTTTAGTGCTTCACCACTCAAACCATCTGGTATAGCTACAATTGTAGCATCTCTAACAAGGTCAATAGTTTCATACATATGTGTTGCGGCTTGAGATGAGAGCAAAGCAGTAGGCAAATGTGTGCATAATCTTGAGAAAAGAAGCTCCAGATCTTTCCTAAGTTCACTGAATCTCTCTGGTAGATATTCCTGAAATGATAGAGGACGTTTATCGTTCTCCTGAAAGTCAGAAACAACTTGTTCAACTGTGCTTTTGTTTTGATTTGTCTTATGGTTATTTCCTTTCCGTTTGAAGACTGAATCAGTGTCTTTGCTTTTCACATTGTTAACCCGTGCCAGATTCTCCAAGTATTGTTGATACTGTCCTTGCGGGTCCTCAAGTAAACGTATCATATAATCAATAGTAGCTCTCCCTCCGTAAAAAGGCATGAAACACTGGTAAAGCTTATCAACGCGTTCATCAATGAAGAAGTCAACAAGATCTCTCCTATCTTTAATCTTCATCCTCTCCCCATTCCCAAACAAAACTACATCTCCAAGACCGTAGTTACCATTCTTCAATGATCCAGAGACTAATTTCACAACTCTTGACGCTACTTCAAGCACAGAAACATTCGTTGGACCACATGTCAAGGTTCTACATTTTGCATTAAGAAGTGTGAACAACATTACACTTGTTGTCTTCGTCTTCCCTGTCCCTGGTGGACCCCAAATCAGTTTTATGGTATTCGCGTGGTGACATCTTCTAACATCCAAACAATTCAGTATTGCATCTTCCTGTGAAGGATTCAGCTTCAGGAAACGACGAGGGACAAGACCATCACTTCCTTCAAATTGACAGGGAATGCAAACTCCTTCATCCTAAACAAGAAGAAGCCAAAATATGATATTTTCACAAACATCGAAAGCTGTTAAAGGATATTCTGGATATTGTTTACCTCGCTGTTTCTTTGAAGGACTCTTGGGATAAGATTCAAGTTCCCACTTTGTAAACCAAGATGCAATGCGTTCCAAATACGGATGTTAGTAGTTATATTCGCCAGATACATACCGAAAAGGCGTTCTTTCTTCTCGTTCTTGTCCCTCTTGACATCCTCAAGAAAAAGGGGTTTCGAAGCCAAAAGAGTGACATAATTGGGCCTGTCTGGATCTGCCTTACACACCATAGCAAGTATATAAGGTTCATTGGAAATGTTGAAGCCATCAACACGACTTGGCCTTTTATCTGTCAGCACGATGAGATCTTTCGGTATCAATTGCGTACTAGCCTCATCAGTAACTGTATGACTACTCAAATGCACTTTATAGAACAAGTCATTACGAAGCTCAAACTCTGCGGTGGGCATAACGTAGTTTATTTCAACGACAGGTGCTCGCCACAATGTCCTCATACTCGACTCTAAAGCGGCATGTGTTTCTTCGATAAGTGGAGGAATGAAGGACTTGAAATAGTCAGCTGTTGACTGGAACTCAATAGGAATCCTCCCCACCTGTTCACATACACAAAATTAACAACATTTGTGTTAAAGACAGACTTTCAAACCAGGTCAAATGTGCCTGAGGCTGAGATTCTCTTTACTCGAATCCAACAAGAACAAAAAGCAAGAATCATAAAACAGAACCTGTCCTTTGTAAAGATCCACGTTGAGTACTTCTTGAAGAGACCAAGAGAGCACGAGATCGACCAAATCTCTTCCTTCAATACGCATTTTCGGCACTTTGTTACAGTTTCCCAACTCAATTGCTTCTCACTCTGAAAGATTAAGAAGAAGAAAAAAGAATCCTTTTCAAACCCTAATCAACGAGTGAACGGCTAAAACTCTACATCGAAGCAAAAGAAGGGATTTTTAACAAGAACCCATCATCGAACGGTAAAGCTAAGTTTTGATTTTTGTACTTCTTTAAGGGGAAAACAAGGTCTTTGCTTTTTCCGATTCAAACTGAAAAAACCCTCAAAACCCTACACCATTGGCTTAGAACCTGAGACGATGATGCGAAGAAATACCGCTTACTTTTGATTTTGAGGGGCAGTGCAGTTGATCTTGAGGGTTTTGTTTTCAGAGACACAAACAGAGGTTTCTGGAACGAAAGAGACGAGTAAGGAATTGGAGGGAAAGCAGACCAAGTAATTTGTGGTATTGCTTCAAGTTTTTTCTTTAATTGACACGGTCATTTCCTCTGACCTAATTACTTTTCAACTTCAATCGTTTTGCGCTATTAGAGTATTAACTTACAATTTTTTTAATACAATTCTACTTTTTAAACAAACATTCTCAAATGTTGTACATCTTATATATTAAATTTCCAAAATAATAATAAAAAAGGAAATTAGGCTATATAATAGGAATTAAGTA